ATTTCATTACAACAGCATTAACATATTCAATAACAATTTCCAAAGCAAAGATGTGTCTCTTTCAAAATTGGCTGTAAAATTTTAGGTTCACCGTTGAATTAAGAGTTATACATTATCGAACTCAGTATAAACCCTATAAGACATAAAATTGAATGAGTTTCTAACCTTTAAAAAAGATCTCCATTTCATTTTAAAATATATTGTTTTTTACAGAAAGGCTCATTGTTTTTGCTAATAATACTGAGATGTTGGCGCATGCACCTCTATTCTGTATGTATCTGATTATTACTAGTCAGAATCCGTTGCACTCAGATCCTTAGCACCTGTGTATGTCTATTTTGATAAAGTGAATAATCACTCCCTAATTAATCTGCTTTGTAAAAGCAGCATTTAATAGGCAGAATCCACATTTAAGAGTTAGTATGCTTCCAGCTAATGCAATTAATCCTTGGGTAATCATCACTGCCCTGCAGGTCATGTTATTATTGTTATTGCTAATCACTAATTCTTAATAGAGGCTTAAGTGTATTTTACATTGGGTGACTCATGAAATTCTTACACCACCCTGTGTGATAGGTACTGGAATTAGCTTTGTTTCATTAAGAGGAAGTGGAAGCGTGGAGAGATTGAATAATTCACCCAGGTTGATGGCTATAAAGTGGTAGGTTCAGTATTTGAATCAATAGCTATTTGACTCCAGTGCCTGAAACCCACTTCAACCATGGGTCTAAATGGCTGAGAGAAGAAAAGAGGTCAGTTTTCAGTCCTGTAGGGACAGGGAGCAAAGGCAGGCTGTCAGAAACTGTACTTACCCAGGTCCTGGTTATGGGCTTTCTCCTGTCCCTCCACGAACAGCAAGCTGTAACCCACCCATAGCTGGCTCATCCCGACGGGGCACAGGGGCACCTGTTCTGATTGACTGTGCTTCACCAGTGTGTAGCCCACTCTCACACTGTGCCCAGGCACTCCAGGCCTCCCAAAGGGGCCCTGCTGCCCTGGAGCTCCTGAGGAGAGAACATAAAAGTGAGTGTGGTGCAGCTGATGGTGTCATCAGCCATTCACTTGGTATTAAACATTGTACAAGGCACATCACATATATGAGTTAAGTCACTGGATCCTGATGCCCTGGGAGATTGGCACTATTATTAGCCTATGCTGGAGATGAAGATGAGACCGAGGATCTGAGTTGCCCCAACTAGAAGGTGGTAGAGCTAGAACTCCAACTCACACATGCTCAGCTACATAATTTCCATTTTTTTATTTTAAAAAAATTATTATTTTCATTTTTGTGTTTATGAATGTATTGCCTGCATGTGTGTAAGTGCACTGGTGTCATGCAATTCCTGTGGAGATCAGAAGAGGGCATCAGATTGCCCTGGAACTGGAGTTACCGACAGTTGTAAGCTACCATATAGGTGCTGGGAACCAAACCCAGGTCCTCTAAGAGCAACCAGTTCTCTTAACCACTCAGTCATCTCTCCAGCCCCCATATAATTCCCATTTTAAAGAGTACATTATCTGGGGCTGGAGAGATGGTTCATCTCTTAAGAGCTCTTGCAGTTCTTGCAGAGGACCTGGGTTCAGTTCCCAGCACCATGTGGCAGCTAACAGTCAGCTGTAACTCCAGTTCCATGGTGTCTGATGCCCTCTTCTGGCCTCCACAAGCATGGCACACATGCTTCCACACATGCAGGCAAAACACTCATACAGATAAAATTAAAATAAATTAATTAATTAAAAATAGTATATCGGGACTGGAGAGATAGCTCAGAGGTTAAGAACACTGACTGTTGTTGCAGAAGACCCGGGTTCGAATCCCAGTACCCACATGGCAGCTAACAACTGTCCGTAACTCCAGTTCCAGGGGATCTGACAGCCTCTTCTGTCTTCTGCGTGCATTGCATGACATGGGTGCACTTACCTGCATGCAGGCAATACCCGCATACACATAAAAATAATAAATAAAATATTTTAAAAATAGTATATCATCCATTGTTCCTCTCCAGTCATCTGTCCTTCAGTTCTAGGAGTGGAGATTACTGGGCAGAGTGGAATTTTTCTTGGGCCTGGCCATGAAGACTCTCACAGGACATAATTAAGTAGCTGCTGAATCAGAGGCATTGTATGTAGTGTCTACTGAGCCTCAGAAGTGTTTTCTAGTACAAGTGGTTTGCTTTCCTTGCTGTAAAACCGAAGATAAGCAGTGGAGGGATGGGCAGATGCACCGCATCTCCAACATTAGAGCTTGAGGCTGGATCCCCTCCATCTGTATCAGAGTAGGACAAGCAGCTGGGAAAAGCAGAGCCAAGAGGACCATGAGTTGGAGGCCAGAGTTGGATGCATATTGAGTTAGAGGGCAGTCTGGATGACATAGAGTTGCCATATCTACACAGAGATATGCAGCAAGACTGTCTAAAAAACAAAACAAAAATGGGAAGAGAACCCAGAGAAGGATTTGGAATAATGTAGAACTTCCCTTCATAGGCTGTGGTGTGTATGGAATAGAAAGAGGGAGAGCCCAGCCTTTGAGCCGCTTCATAGTGGCAAATTCACCACGAGGTTGATTAAATATGCAAGTTTTATTCTCCAGACCTTCAAATCCTGGTGGGCCTTGTAGTCCGGGGAGACCGGGATCACCAAGGGTACCAGGTGGGCCTGGAAGCCCACTGGAGCCATCCTTTCCAGGGATGCCAGGTAGACCTTTGGAGCCTTCAGGAGAGAAAATCCACAGGGTGAGGGATTCAATGTGCAGACTCCAGTCTCCTTCCTTGGACTCACCAAGAGAAGGTGCACTGGTTGGCACCTCGGTATGCACAATGCATATGGAACTGAGGTTTGCCTGGGCTGTCTTAGTTTGTGGGGACAGCTCTGCCCTGGTGTGGTTCTTTTCACTTGGACTTTCTGATCCCTTTCACATCTGCTTTGTCTTTTCCCTTTCTCTCATTCTCCAAGCAATGCTGGGATGGAGCACCACTGTCAGGGGAACATGTAGTCCCAGGGAAGCTAGTGAGTTTCCTTTGTTGGGGTAAAGCTAGGATTCAGAAGCCAGATTTCCTGTCCTCTTCCCTATGCTTTCCCCACTGTCTTGTGTTCTCCCTTTATCCATCACCACACCCTGTCTATGTCTGAACAGCACTTAAGAGGGCAAGCTGTCTGGAGAAGAGATTCACATGTTCTCTGAAGCCAAGTAAAACCACTGCCCCATTGGCCTTCTGGCTTTCCCTGCCCTGGCAAGGAGTTAGGGAGCTTGCGAAGGAATAGAGAAAATAGTCCTTGAAGGCACGCTCTTGGAACTGTGGTTCCAAGCCAATTTCTTCAGCCTCTCAACCAAGGCCTTTCAGATTCCTAAAGGAGTCCCATTTCTCAGGTGTCATTCTTACCTTGCAGACCCACAGGGCCTTGAATCCCAGGCTCCCCTGTGAGACCAGGGATGCCATCGATGCCTGGCAGGCCCAGGGGTCCAGGGGGAACCTGGACAGCTTCAGCAATTGGTGTATGTCCAGGTGCTCCCTGGGGGCCGGCAAAGCCTGGGGGAAGGTGAGGAAATGACACAATCAGGCTGAGGCAGAGGAAAAGCACTGGTGGCCTTCTGCTTTGTCTAGCAATCACCACCTGTCTGCCCTGCTTGTGTTCACAGTTCCCACTTGATGCCTCGAGGACAGTTCACACCACCCTTGACACAGGGCCCTCTTTCCCCATCTACCACCCAGTGGCTTGGCAGGTCTTTGAGGGTAAGGCAAGGAACAGATCATAGTCATCCTGGCTTTCCATAGCCCAGGATGGAGCCTGGTAGGTGGTAGGCAATTAGAAATTGCTGCAAGTATAGCAGGCTGAGACCTGATTCAAGCAGGAGTAGTTCGTTTACTTACATGCTGATCAGAACACAAGCCCAAGGATACTGCGGAGAGGTAGTTAATCCCAGAGATGCAGTTGGCATCCCAGACTAAGAGCCCCATTCAAATCAGCCACCTTATAAATAGACTAAATTGCTTACTAATTCATTGAACAAGTATTTGAATGCTTACTATATGCCAGGATCCTGGGAGATGTAAGACTAAAATAGAGATGGACCTTTATGGAGATTATGGCCTAATGATGAAGAGGAACAATGAATAATTTGACAATTATTATGAACCTCTGTGTAAGTTTTGAGAAAGGCTGTGAAAGAAATGAGTAGTGGAATGACAGTGCAGGGGAGCACAGAATTGTATGGGTGGAGGAGTCTCCTTGAGAGAGCAGTCAGTGGCTTTTCATATCCAGTGACAGTTAAGCTGAAACCATTTATACATCAGAAGTATCAGAAGGAGCAGCCACTTAGAGTTGAGGGGCAAGAACAGTTCAGGAAGCATATATGCTACTGATTGGAATGTAGACTCTTGTAGACACTATGAAGATCAATAAAGTCCTCAAAAGAGTAGAAATAGAAATGCCATGTAATTTAGCTATAGCACTTCTGAGAATATACCCAAAAGAATCCAAGTCTACCACAGAGCTGCCTGCACGTCCATGTTTACAGCTGTAGTAATGACAATAGCCAAGACATGGAATGAGCCTAGATACCCAGAAACACATGAATGTATAAAGATAATATGGCGCATATAAACAATGGAATTTCTTCACTCATAAAGAAAAATGAAATTATGTCATGTGCAGAAAAATTGATAGAACTGGAGAATATCATGTTCTGTGAGTTACATACATACATACATACATACATACATACATGCATGCACACATATATATGGCATGAAAGTAGGAGACTGGCAAGAGAGAGAAGAAAGGGCAAGAGGATAAGGGCAAGAGGCCGATGAGCAGCAGAAGGACAGGGCTGGCACGAGGGTGAAGAGGGCGGTGTCTCACAGGGTTTTGTGGGCCATAGTTCATTTCTATGCCATGGACAGAATGATTTGTTTTTATTGGTCACTGTCTGTGGAAAAACGATTGTTGTGGGAGGAGGAAGGATGCTGCATGAGAAATGCTGCTGGCTAGGACCTTGGCGTAGCAATGGAGGACATGCCAAGTGAACAGATGCAAGGCATAGTTGGGATAAGCCCTCAGGGGTTGCCGGTGCACTAGATGCCTAAGTAGGAATTTTGCTGGTGAAGGGTGAAGAAGAAGTTGCTTCTTTTCTGGACTGAGCCAATGAGGGTAATGGTCTGAGTGAGAACCCAATGGTTACCAATGCAGAAGTAATGCAGAGAGTGCTAACTGGCAGGATCCACTGTAGCAAAGCTGGGGGACCTTCAGTCCTGGGAGCAGATGGAGGTAGAGGTATCTCCAAAGTGGAGAAACTACCTCCTGGGGTGGGAGGTGTGGTGTTTCAGTTGCTATCTTGGTGACTTCTAAAAGAAAATTACCTTACCCATCCTCTTCTCAGGGCAGGCTCAGCCCAGAGCTTGCTCTCAACTCACCTCTTGTCCCCACCTTCCCTTTCATTCCAGGAAATCCTGGGTCTCCTGGTGGCCCAACCTTGCCTGGAGTCCCCATGAAGCCAGGCTCCCCTTTCACGCCTAGCAAATCCAAAGGAAAGCAAGTCAGGTGTTGCCGTGGTGGTGCGAGAGGGAGACTAGGCAGGAAGAGAGTTATCCACTGGCTCCCTTCCAAGGCTACACAAGGCTGTAAACTGGGGATGGATGCACCCAGCACACAGCGGAACAGACTTACCTTTCAGCCCTAGATCTCCAGGGAGGCCAGAGAAACCTGGAAATCCTTGGTTCCCCTTGGGCCCCTGAAGGCCTGCAATTCCAGGGAAGCCAGGGTCTCCAGGGTCGCCTTGATCCCAGGATGGCCCAGGGGGACCTGGAGGCCCGGGGTTACCTGGGCGGCCTAAGGATAAGATTAGAAGAGAATAAAGGGCAGGGGAGTAGGAAATAGCTACTGCTGAAGGCCTAGGGATTTGGGGAGCTGAAGTCCACTCCTAGTACAGGGGTTTTGTTGCTGTCTCTCCCTGTGCTGTGATTTCCCAAATACTTCCCGGGAAATGCAGCCAGTTGTAGTCCCCTACATCCTGACGAAAGGGTAGAAACTGAGGTCAAGCAGGCCCATGCATGTCCAGTAACAGGGATGAGGGCTGCACTATATACAGCACCTCCTTAATCATCAGACAAAGTAAGGCTACCATTTCTGTTAGGGGCTTCTTGTTTTTACCTCGTTCTCCATCTAGGCCTGGCCGCCCGGGGTCGCCAGGCTGTCCTGCTATGACTGAGGGCAAGGAGATGCCTGGGGCTCCGGGGGGACCAGCAGGGCCTTGAAGACCTGGGAAACCTGCAAAGAATAAACAAAATGGAACTTGGTGGGCTTCCCATGCCTGGTGCACTCAAGAAATGGGAACCTTTAGGTAGTAGCAAGACTAGAGTACACCAGCAGAGGGCTCTTCTCCCCTCATCCTGTATCCCAACCAGCAGACAACAGTCAGATGAGAAGGGCTCAGACTCCTTTCCAACTGGAGCTTCATTTTATTGGGACAGAACTTTGGAAATTTCTAGCTTCCTAGTTTTACTGGTGATGGAAATATTTTAGGCAGTTTTCTTCCAAATCAGAAATAAAAGAAGGCATGGCTGAGCAGCTGGAATTTAAGTTTCCCAAGTGTTCTTCAACCTATAAGCCCATCAGACAATCTTTCTTTCCTAACCCAGCCAGTTGTGTCTGATGCTGCACAAAGATTATGGATAGAGGTATGTCTCAGGCAGGGCCATTCAGAATGGATAAAGCAAGAGTTCTGTGATTCCCTCCCCAGTGTCCCCTAGTTTTCCATGCTATCTTCTTGAATTTCTAGGCAAACTGGAAAACAATCTTTTATGGGCAATTCATAACATTAATTGAATGACTATTGAATACATCTCTTTGTACTAAATACCTGCCCCTATTGGCGAAAGGGAAAAGCTGTGTATTAGAGTAGATACGGAATTGCTTGGGTTTTCATAGTGTTTGACATGTTTTCCGTCTGTGGAATAATTTCTACTATATGTTAAGAACCAAAACTTTCACCAGATCACAAAATATTTATTCAATACATATTAAATACACAGATAACAATCTTGATGGAAAAACATATCAAAGCTACATACACAAATGTAGTTCCTGTTGTGCATGTAGCGTGGAACAAATGTATTAACTGGCATATTCTAGCAGATATTCAAATGAAGAGAATTCAATTCAAATTGGTGGCTAAAATGTTCTGGTGTTTGAGATTATTTTATAAAGGATCAGTGGTGTGTGTGTGTGTGTGTGTGTGTGTGTGTGTGTGTGTGTGTGAAGAAAATCCGAAAATAATATGCAATTTTCCATCTTACATCCCCCCCCCAAAAAGAGAAAAAGATAAATCCATGTAAACTGGTAAAAAGAGATGGTGGATTAGCCAAAGCAGGTGTTTAAATTAGATCATTAATAAATTGAATCATAAAGAAACCTATAGATGAAAAATCAATTTTGAGAAAAGGCTCTTCATAAGTCTAGGTCTGTAAGAGAAAAAAGAGAAGCACAAAATGTTACACGATCAGCTATGTCATGGGAAATCTTTGAAGTCATGTTCTTTTTCATTGAGGTAAGGATTTGAAGAAAAAGACACATTGCATACATTTTCCTGAAAATTTAGCTTTATACATGTATATATGCATATAGAAAACTTACATATTAAGAGCGTATACATTTATAGCAGCTGAAATAATGAAAAACTAACAAGGAAGATGCCATATAACCATGTATAGTGGAGTAAGTGTGGTCATCCCACAGATTCTGAAAGTCCCCATGCACTTTTTGAAGTCTTGTCTATCCTTTTTCTGCTTTTTGACTTTAAATTTATACCAATGTGTCATCAAATCCTAAATAAATACACTAGTGACCTAAAGTAAAGCCATATGCTCATATTTTAAAAATTATTATTATTGAGTATGTGCATGCTGTGTGGAGTAAGGGTAAACATGCCACACAGCATGAGTGTCAGAGCTCAAATTTGTAGAATACGATTTCTCCTTCTATCTTTATGTTGGTTCCAGGGATCAAACTCGAGTTGTCAGGCTTTCAAAGCAACTGCCTTTACCTACTGAGCCATCTCACTGGCCCTCATATATATATTGAGACAAGGTCTCACTATATAGCCCTGGCTGGCCTGCAACTTTCTATGTAGAGTGGGCTGACCTTGAACTCACAGAGCTCCATCTGCCTCTATCTTCTGAGAGTGCTGGAATTAAAGGTGTGTGCCACCACACCCCACCCCTGCATATTTTTTTTTAAATTTAAAATGCTGTAAATGGGCAGATGCTAAGCAGAATGCCCATTTTCTAACTCATTTCAATGCTGAAGCCTTAAAAATTTAAATACACAAATGTAGGCTCTAAAGATTTAATGCAAACATGAAAACAAGAGTATAATTGGAAATTATTTAACTAAAGGTATTATAAGCACAGGGGATGCTATAAGAAATTTTTTTAGGTTTAAGTCTGTTTTCCACTGTCTTCCATTAGCAAATCACAGGCAGTTTCCTCTGGGGAATATGATGCATGCTATATTCTTTTTAAACAATTTTTTTCAATAAAGAATAATCCAGATATGATGAATACATCTGTATTGCACTGCCCCACTAAAGAAAAATGAAGATGGAATTTCTTTGGGAATTTCATGTGTAGTCTTCATAGATTCTATCTCTTCCCTCCCTCTCAGTGACAACCAATCCTGAATCTGTGCTCAGATTTCCTTTTCATTATAGTCTGGCTGTTTGTGCTTGTCTTGAGCATTTTTTGATGGAATCATACCAAGTGTATTCCTTTCTGACATATTTTCCCGCTGTAATTATCTTTCTGTACTATATTCATCTTAATATGTGTTGTTTAATGCATTTGTAATAGTGGTTTTATGTCCTCAGTTAAAGTAAGTGAATAATTTGATAACCAGATATTCACAGTCAAGGTTTACAAATAGAAAAGGAAATACCCTGTGATTCCTTCCCATACCCTCTCCTCTATGTCCTGGGAAAGAAACCACAATTGCTCTGCAGGCCCAGATCCTGCTTGGAGCACTTCCTCTGGAGAAGCTTCTGGCTTCCACAAAAGAATGAGTTTGTCCAGACCAATGCAAAGAGGAAACATGGAAACAGCAGAAACAGTAATTCCAAATGCAGCAGGAAATGTGTGAATATAGTTCCTAGGAAACATATGTATATTACATAAACATAAAGTGTGTTGAGATTCAAGGCCCAGAAGATACTGCAAATATTACTTCCCCAAGTAACATATAATAGCATAATGGCCAGTTGTTTGTAGCATCAGCTGGGCACCGAGATAAGTGCTTTTACTCACATTGCCTCACTGTTCAGTGACTCCTCGGAAAATCAATGTGGTGGTTCTTTTATATATTCATTTTAAAGAGAAGGAAAACTAAGGGTTCAGATAGCTAGTGAGAGAGAGGAAGAACTGAAATTTGAACCCAGAGGCTATACTGCATTCACTTTCTGGTTTACATTGAGTGGGGGACATATGGGTCTTCAGAACATTCCTAAGCAAAGCTGAAGAATGATTCCTTTTTGAGAAGTTTCAGAAGAGGACTCTCATTAAGACTTCAGGCAAGGTAGGGAGCTGAATTAAGGGTGGCATCTGCTTTCTATCAATACAGCCAATCCTAATGGTGTGCAGGCTGTGGGCCTGACCTCAGGAGACCCTTTCACTGTTTTTCTTAGTCTTGGGATTCTTCTGCCAGCTGGTGCCTCTCATCCACGCTGGACACTAAGAAATTCCAGCCAATATCTCACTAAAAGGATAAGCTCTGTTCTTTAGAAGCATTCATCCTGACTGTGGACAACTGTGCAGAAGAGACTTTGAGTTTAAACAAAGAGCCAAGGAAAACTGGAGGCTAGAGGGAACTTGGTGAAGTGCTCTCAACACCTTTTACTAAGAATCCATAGGCATAATCATCCCTTTCTAGCAGTCATTGTCACAAGTTCTGAGACTGTCAAAGATGTGAAGACACATAGTTCATCACTGTGAATCATGTGGCCCTGATGAACCGCAAACCTAACTTGAGCTCTCTTACCTCGGTCACCTTTTTGCCCCCTTGAACCTGGTTTCCCTGGATCTCCGATGACAATTCCTGGTGTTCCCTTTTGCCCTTTGGGACCAGGCAAGCCAGCAGGTCCAGGCACACCAGTGACGCTCACTCCTAGGAGAGAAGCACAGGAGGGGACAGAGCTCAGAGAACTATAGGACCTCATGCCTAACTGACTTCCCTATGGCCTGGAAGAAGAGTTCATTCAGGCAGAACAAAACCTAGCCTCTTTCCTCCTTGTATCAGGAAACTTCTAATTGAAGACTGGTGAAAGATCTTTGAGTCCCAGGATATGGATATACAACAGTTGAGAATACATAGCTAGCCTCTGCCTGGTTTCTGGAATAGCTGATGTACTTTACCTTGACCTTGAGGGCTTTTCTTACCTGGAGTGCCATGGGTACCCTTGGTGCCTGGAAGTCCATTTAGTCCATGTAAACCAGGAGGTCCAGAGAATCCTGAGGAGAAAGAATATAAGAAATAGCTCTAGCAGCTCTCAATTATGAGGATTCAGTAAGAAATAGATGTCTATCCACAAAGGCACTTGCAAGGTCCTCATTTGGGAGTTTTTATCATTACTGAGGGATTACTTAATGCCTTAAGGAAGAATATCCAATTCCTAACCTACACCCTGTATCTTAGATGCTCATGACTCTCATCAAAGACCACTGCAGGTTCAAGAGTGAGATGGAAGTTAATTGGTTGTTAAGGTTTGTATCTGAAATATCTCCCCAAAGCCCAAATGTTGAAGGTTTATTCAGTATAGATGGTCACAGAAGTGGGGCTTTTAGGAGCTAATTAAATTACAGAGACTCTGACCTCAGAAATGTATTGATTTATTTTTTGACTCAAAGCTTAATGGGCTATTGAGAGGTGGAGGAACTTCTAAGAATTGGGGCATAGTTGGAGGAAGTAGATAATCAGAAACATGTCATCGATGGGGATTCTTCCCCTTTTGGGACCAGGCAAGCCAGCAGATCCAGGCACACCAGTGATACTGGCTGCTTGGTCCCTGGCACTGCACTACCTTCTGTCTTTTACTGCTTCCTGATCACCATGACATGAACAGTTTTGCTCTACCACATACTCCCTACCACGATGTTCTGCCTTACGATGGGTCCCAAAACAATGACTCCAAATGACTGTGGTCTTAAACCTCTAAAATTGTGAGCCAAAATAAATATGTCCACTTTTTTTTGTTTTTTTGAGACAGGGTCTCCCTGCAGCCCCAGCTGGCCTGGAACTCACTATATAAACCAGGCTGGCCTCGATCTCACAGAGATCCTCTGGCCTCTGCCTCCCGAGTGCTGGGATTAAAGGTGTGTGTCACCACACTGGGCAATGTCCTCTTTATTGAGAGAAGGTCTCACATATTCTAGGATGGCCTATAAGTCTCTATATAGCTGAGCATGATGTTGAACTACTAATTTTCCTGCCTCTACCTCCAGAGTGCAGGGATTACAGGTGTGTGTTACCACTCCCGGTTTATGTAGTGCTGGGGATTAAAGATGTTAGGCAAGCACTCTATCAACTGAGCTATATCCTCAACCCCCACACTGGGTATTTTAAATATAACTTAAAATTAGCAATGCCAGGACCTTTAGTTGCCTCCTCCCAGAAGCTGGCTCCAGAAACTTGTTGCCCTAGCATTAAAACGAGGAGAGGCAATACATGCTGCAGTAACAACTTTCTGCTGTGGCTTTGTATAAAGTAGTTACTTTTCTCATTACTGTGATCAGATATTCAACAAAAGCAAGTTAAGAAAGGAAGGGCATATATTGGCTCATAGTTTGAGGGTATTGTCTATTATGTTGAGGAAGTACAGCAGTAAGAGCTTGAGGAGGCAGCTTGTTAACATTGCATCCACAATCAGGAATCACAGAGTGATGGATACTGGTACTCAGCTTGCTCTTTCCCTTTTTAATCAGTCCAGGACCCCAGTCTATAGAATGTTGCCTCCCATAGTTAAAGTGAGTCTTCCCACCTCAATTAACCTAATCTAGATAATTCCTCACAGGCATGCCCAGAGGCTGGTAGATAATGTAGATTATCTCTCACAGGCGTGCCTCGAGGCTTGTCTCCTAGGATCCTGTTAAGTGGACAATATTACCCATTATACTTGAATATGGTTTAAATGTCTTCCTCAAGGTTCCCACTGTGATGAATTGAGGTCGTATGCTCTTTAGGGGATACTGTTCTCGAAAGAGACTAAGGTGGTTCTCATGGGACTCTGAGTTCTCATAAAAGTGAATTGTTACAGAAGAGCATAACTGGTCCCACCCCTCACTCTGGCTTCCTATTGACTTGTGATGTTTTCACTCTTGCTTATAATCTACCATAATGCCATCCCCCATGAGGTGACATAGCCAGGGGTCATCCTTATTAGATCTAGTGCCATGGCTGTTTAGAATTACAGTCTCATAACTATGAGTTAATAAACCTATTTTCTTTTTTATTTTTTGTTATTACTGAGACAGGGTCTCCCTGTAGCCCCAGCTGACCTGGAACTTGCTATGTTGACCAAGTTGGCCTTAAACTCACAGAGATTCACATGCCTCTGCCACCCAAGTTAAACCCTTTTTCTTTATAAATACCTAGCCACAGGGACATCATTATAGTAATGGGAAATTAATATGTCTTCCTTGTTAATGTTTTTCTTCATGGATCTTATATCCTTCCATTCCTGTTCATACTTGTTCGCCATCTTTCTCATTAATCCTCATGTGACACCTCACTCTAGGCATGGCTTTGACCTAGCTGTTACCTTCTAAGATGAAGTAGTTACTGTCTGTTTTTTAGGAAAAGATACTTTTCCCCTATTTCCTGCTGTCAAATATTCATACCTTTAGGTCCTATTAAGCCAGAGGATCCAGGGGAGCCAGTTGACCCTGGATGGCCAGAAGAACCTGGGAGTCCTGGGTCTCCTCTCATCCCTGTAATCCCTTGAGGTCCTAAATGTGAAAGCAAAGCAGAAGTTCAGAATGGGGTATAGTTTGAAGCTAATCCTAATTTCTTCAGAATACCATTGTCATGTAGCATGGTACCTGGGGAGCCAGGAAGGCCAGTATCGCCAGTAATACCAACTTTTCCATCTTCACCTTTGACTCCAGGGTAACCAGTATCACCAACTGGTCCATCTTTTCCTTTTACACCTATAAAAATCAAGAAAGATACAGGTTTTCCACAGATTTTATGGGATTAGTCCAGATTTCTGACAGTGTATTCCTCCATGGGAAAGCAGAAGCAGAAAGTGAAACCATTTCGAATTGCTGAGGGAACCTGATCCAATTTTAAGAATTCTGGAAAGGATTGTGACAGTTGTTTTCACATTTAGAAGCTATCACCTAATTGAGAATTGAATAGACTTTTCCTGAGTGCCTTTCAGAAGCAAGAATGATGGCCCAAAATGTTTGAGCAGCACAGCTTATACAAAAATGTATAAATTGAGTGTGTGCGTGTGTGTGTATGTGGGACACATCTTTGTTAATGTACAACTCTCTTAAGAGTAGGCTGCTTTGTTTGAGAAAACTATAGGTAAGATTTTTTCTACACTGGATGGAAGTTGAAGAACTTGGGGATTGGTCTCCAAAATTCCTTCTGGTCCTCAGTTTGGAAACATTTATGAGGTACATGAGAAAAAAAAAAAAAAACATTGCAGCCTTACCTTTAAAACCCGATTCACCAGGTTGCCCCTTGGGTCCTGGGATACCAGAAATTTCAAGTGTTTGGCCCTGATCTCCTGCAAGAATGAAAATAATGTTGAAATGATCAAGAAAAACTATAGTTTCCACCAAATGAACACATTTTTCTCCACCGTAGAGTCAATATACCCAGAAGAGCTTCTTGACAAAACTGTCCACTCAGTACAAGGTGACCACTTACTATCCAGGAGCTGAGATGTTACCAGGATACTGGCCTGAAATGCTGTTATACATAGAAATTCTGTTTTGAAAACACATCTCTAGACTCTGTATGTATGAAACAGTGGCAAGTGGGCCCTAAAACACTACCAGAATAGAACAGTAATATAAGTAAAAAGGGGAAGGATATGCTCAGCAGGGGGAGAGGCTCTTTGGAGCTGGAATTCTTCTCAGCTGATACTCAGAAGGGAGCTGGGTCAAAATAAAAGCAAAAGGGCTATCTTTTTCTTGGTCACAAAAAAACGGGAAGAGATCTTGGCAGGTACCACTGCTCATTGCATTGCCTTTGAAGAACAAGAATTATAGAGGGTGTTTGGCCAAAGAGCAAATGTAAATCAGATTCATTTTCCCCTAAATATAGCCCCCATACCCCCAAGATATTCCAGGTTTGGTAGAACACCACCTTGGTCTAAACAAACACACCAAAAGAGAAAATGTTCCTCACCTTTTAGGCCTGGGATACCAGATGCTCCCTGGGGTCCAGAAGCTCCAATAAAACCTTGTGAACCCTTCAAGGCAATACGGAAATCATTATTTCTGCCCAGAGCTCATAGATGCTTGACATATTCTTTCTCCTTTCCTCCCCAAGCCACTGTCTGAGAGATGCTGATCACACACTCTGTGTTAGGCAAGACAGAAGGTACGTCCTGCAAATGGGAAGGTGCTGAGCCAGGGGCAGGCATATGTACTTAGGGTTCATAGGGGAAATATTAAATCTGCTGATTAATCTTTGTCGTTTCATTCATAACTTCCCTCTGCCTATCAATATTAAAATCTGGCAAATCAAAGTATACCTGCACTAAGTAGCAAGTTTCAGAAAATATAATATATGACCACTCAATTTGCTCTATAGGTATTTGGCTACTACCACTCTGGCCAAAGCTCCACAGCCATTTCACATACTAAGTGTTGTTTCAGTCAGATGTGGTAGCTCATGTCAATAATTCCAGCACTCAGAGGCAGGAAGTTCACAAGTTCAAGACCACCCTGGAATACACAGTGAGACTTTTTCTCAAAAATAGAAAAACTGCCAGGCGTGGTGGTGAACACTCTTAATCACATCACTTGGGAGGCAGAGGCAGGTGGATCTCTGTGACATCAAAACAAACCTGGTCAACATAGAGAGTTACAGGCCAGTTGGGGCTACAGGGAGACTCCATTTCAACCCCCACCCCCCAAAAAGGAAAAAACAAAACAAGCAAAAACCACAGTGTTACTTTACTAAGCAAGGTGAGCCCTCTGCTACGGGTTCCATAAGGAACATGAGGTTGTCCTGGCACCTGGTAGCAGGCTGTAAGTGTGCAGGTGCTAGAGTCTAAATTTGTAATAAATGTATTCCATTTTCACATCCACTGGCAGCTTTCCAACACACTCTACAGCTGGGGAGCGTTCGCGTCAGCTGCTATCAGCAGTTCTCCTGAAATCCAGTATAGTTTGAGATATTTGAAGATGTACCCAATAAAGATGAATGCCAGTTAGTGCTTTGCACAGGAGACTGACCACTGGACTGGGTCACTGTGCTATATGCTGTTATGCAGGCTATCTCTTCCATTCTGCCTGTTTACTGACCTGACTTCATCTAGCATATTGCTATAGATATAGTCATTCCTAATATGAATCTCTGCTTATGCCAGGGCTCCCTACACAAATGCATTCCCACTTTGTTTCTACCCCTCCTCCTATGTGAGTTGTTAGGGTCTTTAGTCTGGAACTACTTCTTTGGAGAATGTTTCAGCCATATGTACATCTTCCCCACCAGATGGCTTGATGCTTTTGAAAGACAAAGGCTTTGCCTACAGGGAGTATAGGTGTTATGTGCCCAGTTCATTTGATCCTACTATTAATGTAGAACGTGTCTGACACAATGTTAAGTGCTTTACATGTTCCACCTTACTTAATCCTCACTACTGTCTGAAACATGTTTGAATATTAGTCCCATTTCTTTTACAGATGAAGAAAATAAGGTTCAGCTAAGTTAAGCAAGGTATACAAGATCACAGAATGAATGAGCGATTGAGCTGACACAAACTCAAGCTCATGTGTGTTCAACACACTCTACCTTATTTTTTTAATTGCGTGTGTGTGTGTGTGTGTGTGAGAGAGAGAGAGAGAGAGAGTGCATAAGATGCCATGTGTGTGCCTATAAGAGGGCATTGGATCTCCTGGAGCTCTTATCTTACTACAGTGGGTTGTGAGTTATACGTAAGTGCTGAATTTAACTTGGATCTTCTGGGACAGTAGCAGATTCTCTTAACCACTGGGCCATCTCTCTAGCCCTTACTTTGCCTTTTAAAAGTCCAGATAACTTGGACTTGATTATTTGCTAGTTGTTGTCCTCTATGGTACTATCAAACCATCACAAAATCTCTCAGTGGTAGAGCACTTAGCTACCACACTTGAGGCCCTTGGTTCACAGTCACGAGCGTGCGCGCACACACACACACACAAACACACACACACACACGCACACACACACACACACACTCCACCCATAAGTCATTCAAGCTGGACATGGCAGCGCACACCTGTAATCCCAGCACATGGGAAGCTAAGACAGGAGTTCAAGCTCAGCCTTGACTACTTAGTGGGACCTTGACACAATCCCCTCCCCCAAATGTATGAATTCTTACAATGGTTCTAGTTTAATGTAGGGTTAGGATATGGGATGCTGGACCTGGGGTGCCGATAGAAAAGAATGAAAGGCAATTCTTATTCTCAAGTCCCAGAAATCTCATTGAGGGAATGAGAGTCCCTGCACAACCAACTAGATGGAGATGAGCAGTGAAAAGCAGAGTGCCAGCCCAGTAGGAGCCCAGTAACTCCTGAGGAGATGGTGCCTGAAGGGCAGGCAGATGCTGGAGAGTGCAGAACAGGCAGGAAGCATTTCCACATGGGTAATAGTGGGAGCAAAGGCAAAGCAGATGGGCTGCTGGAGAAAGGGTGGAGAAGACTGTCACACACAGAGTTTTGAGGGTGTCCTGAAGGTAGATGCTGAGAAATAGCCTGGGATCAGAAAGATGGGAATCTAGGGCATGTCTCTCTGCTGTGGAGTTTTTTTTTTTTTTTCTGGTAAAGAGACAAGAATCTGGTCATACTTACAATTTTTCCTGGCATTCCTGGGAAACCTGTGATCCCCAGGGATCCCTTCAGGCCGGGAAAACCTTGTAATCCTATGGAGCCAGGGGAACCTGGCCTCCCACTAAGTCCTTTGATTGTACTGGGCTGTCCAGGAGCTCCAGGTGAACCTGGTGACCCTGGTCTCCCAGGCTTTCCTTTTTCACCTTGAAAAGAAGCAAAAGGTATTGGAAAAAGGCTCTAGGTACCCGAAAACCTGTGTGTCTAGATGTATAGATGCTCTGATGCCAAGTATAATCATAGGTGAGAGAGCAGTGTCACCCCAGCTCCAATGTTGGGCAAGCAGCTCAGTAATGGTCCATGTCTCACTGATAGGGTCATTGAGGGGTACCACTCATTGTGGTTCAAAAACCTCAGTTCAGACAGGCATGGTGGCACATGTCTTTAATCCCAGAACTCAGAAGGCAGAAGCAGGTAGATCTCTCTGAATTCAAGGCCAGCCTGATCTACACAAGGAGCTTCACACAGGGCTACATAGTGAGACCCTGTCTCAAAAAAAAAAGAAAGAAAGAAAATAAAAGCCAAACCACCCAAAAGCCCTCAGTTCTATAGCAGCAATAACAAATCGCAATCTCAATGACCGACCAGGTGACAGTCGGGCAACAGGGAAGACAGGTTTCTTGGACCCCATGCTGCCTCCCACACTGCTGCTCTAGGAGGTGAGGGTTGCTTTTCTCAGGAAGGAATCCAAGACTGGTTGTAAATCCTTTCTTGGGAATTTCTCCTGAACATTCTCTGCCTCAGCACCTCTGGGCCCAGGGAATCCATCCAATCCGGCAGAACCTCGAGAGCCCTTGTCTCCTTTGAACCAAAGGTTCAGCATTGGAGGTCTTGAAATGGGCATTCCAACTGGCCCTGGATCACCCCTGTCTCCTGAAGAAAGGCAGATCAGACAATAAGCATGAATGAATTTAAATACAAAGTAGTCACACAAAAGCTGACCTTTCATATGGTTTTTCCCCACAGCCCATTTTCTGGGCCTTTATGTTCTCTTCCCTACCCCATTTTTCAATTTTGCATTTCTGTGTATGCTCTTTTCCTCCAAACCCAATATCTATCAGTTACCTTAGATCCTACTCAAAACCCTACTCCATGGGATGAATTGGGAGTGCATAAATTAGGATTCCATTTTTATTTGAATAAGTATACCCCAAAGGCCCATATGGTGAAGGCTTGAGTCTCAGCTAATGACACTGTATGGAGGTAAGTGAGCTTTTGATGGGTGGAGCTTAGTTAAGTCATTGGGGGCATGCCCTTGAAGGGGATTGTGGGACTCTGGTTTCTGCTTCTTTCTCATTTTTGCTTCCTGGCTGCTATGTGGTGAGCAGATTTCTCTGCCACATGCTCCCTGCCATGTTGTAATGTGCCACCACAGACTCAAAAGCAACAAGATCAAGTGATCATGAACTGAAACCTCTGAATCCGTGATCTAAAATATACCTTTCCTTCATACAAATTGTTCATGAAAGGTATTTTTTTTATAGAAATCAAAAGCTAACATAGTCCATAACATGTAGTACTAATTCTGAAGGGATTAGTCTTTTTGTTTCAAAGAACTTAATTCATAAGTCCAAAATTTTATCTAATACAAAGTTGGTACACACCACATGAATGACAAAGTTGACAAATTAATTTACATTGAAAACAAGTGTGGTTGTTTTAGAATTCCCTTCTCTCACTTACCTTTTTCGCCAGGACTACCAGCCTGTCCAAATTGTCCCACCTTGCCAACTGACCCAGGAAGTCCCTTTAATCCACTTGCTCCAGGAATACCAGGAAGACCTGGCAACCCAGGAAAACCTATTGGTCCAGAGGCTCCCTTTTCACCTGTTGAGAAATAAGAATTTCTTGTATTATCATTTCTGTTTCACATACAAGGAAACAAAAGGAGCCTTAGAATGGGTGAATTACTTGTACAAAGTCACAGAGCTAAGAAGTCACAGAAAAAGGATTTGAACCCAAATTTTTCTAACTCTGAAGTTTCAGTTTCCCCAAGTTTTTTAGTTATTACCCATTCTAGTGCATCCCTGAACAGGCACATGGCACTAAGCACCACAAGGAAATGAAGAAGTGGGCCCCTCTGTTTTAATTCACTAAGTTCAGGGCACATGTGCTGGCATAGAAAAGCCTAGGGCCAGGACACAAAGAGATGAGCTCAATCTTGCCTCTTGTGCTAACCAATTGTGTACCCTGAGACTAGCCATTTTCTCCTGTTTAAAGCAGGGCTTCCCACACACCTAAAAACTGATGATGATTGGAGCACTCATAGGAAGTGGTAGCCATCAGGATCCTTGATGTCATGCCAATGAGATACCTCAATGCAGTTGTTACTGCCCTGGGGCTTTCTGAACATGATATTCAGCCTAGTTTTCGACACAGTGAGCAGTGTGGGTGACTCACATTAGGTGACACTCTTCCTTCTGTACTCTCCTTGTCCAACTAGCTTGATACAGAAAGCTCTGCCCACCTCCCTCCCTCTTTTCCATTCCTAGGCAGAGAGGAGGGAGTGAGCTGGGCAGCCGGGACACTCCTATTTGGTAGTCCCTGGCTACTTCATTGGCCTTCCTGATTACTTCACTTACCCTTTTGGCCTGGGAGGCCAGGCAACCCAGTGACCCCAGACAAGCCTGGGTTCCCCAAGAAGCCAGGTGACCCTGGAGAACCAGGAAGGCCTTTTATCCCAGGTAGACCTCGTTTTCCAGTTGATCCAGGGTGACCCATCTCTCCTCTTAGACCTTTCTTTCCAGGATGTCCTGATCATAGGAGAGAACACAGAGCAGCTATTAAGTGAGGCTCTGGCCAGATCTGGGCAACTGCCTGTTCCCATAGCTTTGGATTGGCTGGCTTGTTGAGTTTTGTACATGGCTTTTTAACAATGCCCAATGAGAGCTGCCAATAGGCCAAGTGCTTACTTGGCTGGAGTATTAGCACCTACCGCTCAGAGCACCACGCCAAATGCCCATTACTTCCAGCATGGTACAGTAGCTGGCAGGAAAGCAACCCCTTGTTATAGTCTAACTTCTTTATGAATGTCGTTCACAGTGGAGGCTCTGAATGGAGCTCTGGGAAGCCAGGGTGGCAACAGGGCTCTGGTTTCCCCAGTACTTCCACTCTGAATCAAGCCACAATGGCTGTTTCCTGAGCCAATTCATGAAGTAGAGGGTAAAGTTGAGCTGTTGTTCTAGCCTCCCAGGGAGTCTTGGTTGCAGGGCTGCCCTTTTAATCCCTCAAGCAAGCAGTTAAGTCAGCCAGTTCCTTGGCATTAGGGTTGAAAGACCCCCTAGTGCAAAGCACTGTAGAAACCCACAAGGCGCATTTGATCTCCTAGGTATTCTGAGCCTTCTTTCAGCATACTTTAAATTGGTCAATGGGATTATCCTCCTGAGCTGCTGCCAAAGTGGAATGTTCAGGTACAAAGCAAGGAAATTAAAAAACCAAAGGATTAAATCAATGACGACAGAAGTATTTGGGCCCCCAAGCTCCTACATGAATGGCTGACTTAGCTTTCCATGAAATGAAAAACATCAAGTAGTTGTGAGCCCCAGGATTCCAATGGGAAGCTGTGGAGGGAACTCCACAACAAGGGAAGGAAATTCAATGGGAGCCATCCCTGAAGCAGGAGATCAGGGATCCCTGGCCTTGTAAGCAAGGCCTTGTTATAGTGGCTAATCAGAAAATTCCCCAGTGGGGGTCTTAGTCTGTGAGCTTGTGGCCTGTATTTTTTTTCACCTAGGCAGCTTCTGCGAAGACCCCAGAAACACAGAAGGACAAAAGAGATAAAAAGGATATTAATGGCTCTGCAAATAACTCAGTTTCAGTCAAGTGGCCAGTGATGTAGTTCCTGAGGCAGAGTGAGGGGTATGGTATTAGAAGAACGTAAACTGCAAGCACTAGGCTGGAAACAGTGGGTGTCAGTCCACACTGCTGAGTGAAAGCCACTTTTTGGCCATAGGGCCACAGAGCAATGCTCCCCTGACAGGCAGGCCACTGACGGGGGGTGGGGGTGGGGTTCATACACTGCTCGACTTTCTCCCCAGGCCAAAGCCGGCTCCCCACAGCTCCAGTGAATCTCATGGAGATGAGCGCAACACAACTCAGCACAGGGTGACTTCTCTAACTGAGGAAGGCCAGAGGCAGGCCACAGTGTCAAAAGGGGACAGGAGGCTGAAAAGGAGGGAATGTACAGTGATTTGCTGTCATGGTTTAGAAGCTGAACTGTGGCAATGTGTTCTGTTTGGCATAGCCAGAGTGACTTGGGATTTGAAACTAGAGAGTTAGAGAAGTTAGGAAAATCAAATCTTCTAGATTGTGACCATGTCACAGTGTCTTATTACCCTCCAGGTTGCCTGAGCCTAAGGGCTAGCCAAAAATCAAGTTGGGGTTCTCCTTCCAATGGACCTACCTGAAATGCCTGGGAGGCCTGGTGCTCCTGGAAGGCCAGATGTGCCCTTGATGCCAAATGGGTCACTAGATCCTAAGGGTCCTGGCTGTCCCACTGATCCTGATGCTCCAGGGATGCCCCGTTCACCTTTGGGGCCTAGCAAACCAGACTTCCCATTCAAACCTAATAAAAGGGAGGGGAGCAGATATTTACAGCAGGGACCATTAGCTATCACTGGGTTACCAAACAGGCTTCTAATGGAAGAGCTTGGCCCAGGACTCATCTCGGGTGATACTATCTTCTTAACAGTCTTGTTGCTTTTCCCAGAAGTAAACTCCTTGAGACTTTGCAAGAAATTAGACTACTGGTTGTATTATTTCTGGGATTACTAAGGCAGGAAAAGGGACTCCAACAGCATAAGGAAAATAGCTCCAAGGAGAGACTGAACAGAATGTTATATCATGTTTGCTCCCTAAATAATCATTCCAGATTCATGCATGCATTCATGCAGGTATTCATGCAAAGATAGCTGTTACTGTAAAGCTTTCTGTACACTGTTAAATAGGGGGACAAGAAGAGTCACCCTTGGGTCCTGGAAGGCCAGAGTCTCCAGGAAATCCTTTGTCCCCTGGCAATCCATGTAGGCCTTGCTCCCCTGAAGCACCATTTTCAGCACCAAAGGTGTCACCAGTGGCTCCCTTGGAACCTGGTAAACCTGGACTGCCAGCCTTCCCAGGCAAGCCATCTTTTCCAGGAAGCCCAGGAAACCCAGGCAAGCCCTTCTCCCCATGAGGTCCAGGAAATCCTAAATGTAAAGAGGCAAACATAAAAAGGTCGTGGATGTTTAGAAGTAATTTGTCTGAATGGAGATCTAAAACAAGAGTTTTCTAATACAAAAGTGAATGTCAATAAAGATCAGTGGTCTCTGTTCCTCAGAAGTCTTGTACAGAGGCAGGGGCTACTCCATGTGACCAGGTTTTAGTTCTGGGAGCTGGGAGTAAGCAAAGTATAGCAACCTGTTCCTACTCCTGGGGCTCAGAAGTTGCTGAGAACCCCAATTATACCAAGGCCCTCTGGCCAAATTCATTCTCTTCTGTAGTTTTGTTAAACTCCTGCTGTCTTCCCTCCCTCTTCTTGAGTAGGCAGAGGCTAGTTGAAATAACTGAGGCACTGATAAGGTAGCCCAGTATAAGACTGATGTACTAGAGCAACAGTGGTTCAAAACTTCTTATAGTGACACACAGACAGCTGGCTTTGCCCTGGAGTTTCGCTCAGGAGGTCTTGCAGGCTAAGAATCTGTATCACTAACAAGTTCCAAAGTGACAAAGGTACTGACCCAGGGAGCACAGTAGGACCATTAGTATGGTGTAGCCCTATAAAGCTCAGGTTGGAACAACTTGTTAGAAAAGGGGAGGAAATGGATAGTTTCTTTCTGACTGATCGGAATCTTTTTCTCTGACCTCTAAGAGTTTCATCCAGGATGCTGCCACAGGACTGGTAGGCAGACAACTGTAGAGTCCTAGCCTGTTACTAGTGGCTTTGTGATCTTGGACAAGTGACTTTCTATACAGTATTACTTTCCTCAATCTGAGAGTTAAGGAATTGCCTCAGTTAATCTCACATGACTCTTATTTCTCCATTATGCTATCATTCTATGGCTCTCCACTGTGTCTTTCCTGGGAGTAAAATAAAACCATCTCAACCACACCAGGCAGCAGAACTAGTTTTCTATCATTGGTAGAGGATGAAAACAATCAAAACACATGGTCACATAAAGGAAAATTTGCCAATGCCTCTTTTTCCTTCCTCACCTGGTAATTCTGGGAGATGAATAAATCCTGGGCTTCCAGGCTCTCCTTTACTTCCATGAATGCCAGGCTGGCCTGGAGTCCCAGGGAGGCCCCGGGCCCCCTTTGAGCCTGAAAACCCAAATGAAAGTAGTGAAGGGAAAGGAGGATCGACATGGCTATGCTTGATTTACAATGTTCAAGCAAGAGGTCTACCCCCCTTTGAGGGCCTCCCCTATTCTCACCTCCCCACACCATACGCTCCAGCAGCCATGGTTTCCCCAGTCACTGAGGCAGCCCTCCGTGGGAATATGGATCCTCATGTTCTACCAGGATCCTCTCTCCCTTTGACTCATGACCCTTAAAATGTACTTATTAGCTTCCTCTGGCCTCATTCCATACCTGGGAATCCAGGAGCTCCAGGAAATCCTGATGGACCATACGACCCGGGAATAATACAAGGCAAGGTGACTCCTATAAATAACATGTGGAACTTTGAACCCACTGAGTCAGAGAAGAGCTTCTTCTAGCATGTTCCTTTTCTTCTATTAATAGAACAACCAAGTTCTCCCCAGGGAGCACACACTTGATGTCAGATATTCTTGGGAGTTACTACCAGTGCAATTGCTTATTGTGAGAATGTACTTAATAAGCAAGTATGGTAGGCAAGCAGTAACCTAGGCAGAAGGTGTTACCTAACAAAGTTTCCTATAGGTGACCTGTGCAGGAAGTAGTGAACTGAGCAGGAATAGTCTGTTTATCTTTCCCTTACCTAGAGTCTCTCTCTAGCATGGGTACTTGGGGTTAGTACTAAGGGTCCACTATATCCACATTATTACACCGGACAGTTTGAAGCCATGACTGCTCGAGTTCACATCTATACTTTTTCTTGAAATGAGGTTTTCTCCAAACCGTGGGATTCTTTTAATGCATTTCATTTAGTCTACTGAAACCTATTAACTGTCCTTGGTCAGATGTACCTGTGGCTGTGCAAGGGAAATAAGACTACTCTCTTGGTCATGATAGACAAATGGTGACACCTCAGCTCCTTAGCTGAAATGGTAAAATCTACTTCTCAGCAAGCAGAGGTATCAATTTCAATATTGGAGATGTTGAAATCAGCATGCCTTTTCTATGGGGAATTCTTTGTTCATTAATAATGCAAATAAAGAGTCTGTAAGATCACAGAGGGGAGGTTAATAAACTACTGGTGAACAAATTGTATACTTCCTCAAGTGCCATTTATAAACACTTGCTGTGTTAATTAAAATTAGCCTCGCCTATTCACTAAAACAACCCCCCAAGGTCTGTCTTAAACCACAGAGCCAACAGTTCTAATAAACTTCTATAGCACGTGTTTACATTAAAAATAAATCACACATTGCCTTTCTGAGAACTGTATATGCAGCCTATGATACAGAATGCTTACTCATGTGGCTGGCCTTCCTCCTTTGATTCACATCTGCTCTCCAACATGAAAGAAACCTTGGCCATTTTTTAACTCGTTAAAAACCTTGAATCAAGGTTGGCAATTGAGCAGAATAATGTACCAGTTACACTGGGCCCAGAAAACAGAAAGATGAGTTTGTGTCCTACTTCTGTTAACACATACCTGTGTGGGAAAGATTCTTAACTTCTCTGAGCATCAGGTGTCAAATAGGAACCACTTATGTCATGGAGTTTGTGAGAAGTATATGTAACAGTGCTGGCAGCACTTGATGTAGTGCCTGGCATGCCACCGTATGGTCATTGAATTGCAGTCCTCCTCATTTTACTTATAGAATATTCAGAAGTGCTCCTACAGGAGCCACATTAGTTTCTCAATGTTGCTTTGTAGACTGGGTGGCAATTTTCTGCCTTCTAGACCTTATGTTTTGTCTGTATATTAAAGGATACCTATATGCCTGGGCCATCATCTACACGTGCTTACACCCACCTCTATCATGTTAGATATCAAGATGGCAGAACTATTTTTTTTTAACTTTGAACATTTATTTATTTATTTGTTTATTTATTTGTTTATTTATTTATTTATTTATTTAGATTTTGTGTGTATGAGTGTATTGCCTGCATGTAGGTAAGTGCACCTATGTCGTGCAATGCCTGTGGAGGTCAGAAGAGGTTGTCGGATCCCCTGGGACTGGAGTTACAGACAGTTGTTAGCTGCCATGTGGGTGCTGGGATTCAAACTCAGGTCTTCTGCAAGAACAACCGGTGTTCTTAACCGCTGAGCCATCTCTCCAGCCCTGGCAGAACTATTTTTGAGAGCTATTTGCCTATTATGGAAATTAGAGGTAAGCACCTCAGACTGAGATGCTTCACTGAAAGATAGCTTGCAACCCTGTATGCTACTGGGGCCCAGAAGTTTTTCTTTTTAACATTTTTAATTAAGAAAAAAATTATTTTGAGGCAAGGTTCCACTATGTAGCCCTGGCTGGCTTGGAACTCACTTTGTAGGCTGAGCCCAGGCTGGCCTCAAACTCATAGAGGTACATCTGCCTCTACCTCCCAAGTGCTGGGATTAAAGGCATGTACCCCCATGCCTGGTCTGGCGCAGAGTTTTTGAAGAAGGTAGAAGATTGCTGCTGTAGCTGATGTCATTAGAAGGACCTTGCAAAAGATTGTCCTGCCCCCAACTACCTCCATAGGCCCTTGGTTCCAATGCGTCCAACTCTCAACCATTGTATTTCTATTGGTTTATTTATGTCTTAAGAAACATACTGAGTAAAATATAAGTATCCCTGAGCTGAGTTCAAATGTAAAGCCACTGATTTCTTCAATTTATCAGATCAGTTTCATAGATTCTTTCTACATGTGACAACCAGTTCAAAGTAAAGCCTTTAAAAAATGGGACTGAGGCCAGTCAGGAAAATGGCGATAGAGGGAAGGTGGGTAAAAACCCAGAAGGAAGAAAGGACGTTTTTCTTTTCATAGTTTCCCCTCATAATTTTGACACAGAGCACATTGCATTGTATACTGCAAGAAGAAGTAGGTTCAAATTGATGGGAAGGCTAGGGACTTCATATCCTTCTGGTATCTGGCTTTCATTTTATATTGCTATCTCCAGCTTGGCATCCCTGAAAATCATTCTTAACAAAGCAGAAATCAGCTCTAGCCGTGTTATGTCTTATAAATACAGCAAATTATCACATTATGTAGCATTTCTAACGTGAATGTCAAAATTAATTTTTAGAGTAAAAAGCACCTTTTTATCACAATTCTATCATTTCAATTTGTTTTGGGATCAAAGATTAGAGATCAGCCATGTGAGGTTTCTTGACCTTCCAAAGGAAGTTATAACCCAATTAAAGCTCAGAAAATATAAGTACTTAGGGCAGAGATTGGCCAAGACATGAGCATGTGTGGTAAAGGAAATTAGCCTTGCTCAGGGATTCCATACCAACATCCTTCTGTAGTCACCTAGAGGTATGTGCTAAGGAGCCCTTAAAGCAGTGTCAGGGGCCAGTGGGTAGCCTCTGCATCCCAGTCTCATGATCACTTTTCCCTTCAAAAAGGTACAATGTGCTACTCAGGACATTCTGAGTGTTAGAGACAAAAATGAACAAAAATGAAGGGGCATTATGCCAACACCGATGGCTGAGAACCTGAAGATTTAGCTAGCTCTTACCTACCTCTGTGTCTCTCTTTTTAACCAACCTTTCCCCTACAGCCGTAATCACCTAGACTAATCAAGTAAAGAAGAAAATTAAACCACTACAGAAATTTGTGGAGGCCTAAGGGGAGTCTTTACCTCAGCCTGGATATTCCTCCCATCCACATTCATCGTGGGGATTGAATGGATTGCTGGCACCCACACAGGACCAAGCACACAGTAGCCACTTCACTAATAAGCTGGGTGATAGATTATATTGAGCATCTGGAGCCAGATGCTCTATGGAAACAGTTAGCTGTCAGTGTGCCCAGGGTTTGTAATAATTCACACCACTACGTTGAAAGGCTTCTGATGACTACACTTACTTCCCTGACAGTGTAGATGTCTCAGCCTGGGCTGTCATGTGTAGGAGTAGGCACAGTTAGGAACAACGTCTTAATTTTGTCGGTAGCCTCAAAGGTTGTTTTTAAATGATGTGGAAAGAACACTGGGTTTGAAGAATTATATTTAGCTATCACAGAGAAGAAAGGACAGGTAATGTTCTCAAAGAAGTATTTGTTTTCAACTGCAACAAGTACCTTTTTTTTTTTTTTGCATAAGGCATCTTGCAGGCCAGAGCACTATGTTCCTGAGAACTTTCTGTGTTCAGGAACCAGTAAAGTCTGGAATGGAAATGACCCCATAGGTTTCCTTCTGTTGCTGTAGCCTCTTCTCAAACAAATGGAATATTGATAATATCCAAAAGATTTGAGGATGTACAACTTGCTAGGTGTTATTCATTGTAACTAAATTTAAAATCTAGCTACTTGCAAAATTGGTTGACTTAGAGTGATCCATCAACGGTAGAGGGCAGAAGAATGGCCACAAGCAACATCTGGGGAGACAGAGTGGAAGCAAAGCTGTAGCTGACACTAGCACTTCTAAAAGGCAAACTGATATTGTTTGATAAGATCTGGACTAGGAATATAGATCATTTTCCTAGCATGTACAAGGCTCTGGTTTATGTGCCTAGCACTATGCATATCCACAAATTCCTCACAACTGTCATAAAACTTCATGAAATGAAATACTGACACTGACTTTTTTTTTTTTTTTGGTCTTTTTGAGACAGGGTCTCCTTGTAGCTCCAGCTGTCCTGGAACTCACTATGTAGACCAGGCTGGCCTTGAACTCATAGAGATCTGCCTGCCTCTGCCTCCTGAGTGCTGGGATTAAAGGCATGCACCACCACGCCAGGCTCTGACTTGGTTTTTTTTTTAAAAATTATTTATTCCAATTTTATGTGTATGTGTGTATGTAAATGAACTTATGTCATGCAATGACTACAGAGGCCAGAAGAAGGTATCAGATCTCCTAGAACTGGAAATACACAGTTGTTAACCACCATTTACATGCTAGGAACTAAACCCAGGTCCTCTGCAAGAGCAGTCAGTGCTCTTTAAGCCTGAGCCATCTCTCCAGGTCCCTAACTTGCTTTTAAGAATCTTGAATGATCAAGATTTAACCTGTGTCATCATGCTTATTACATCAGCTAAAAATAGGTTTTAAAACAGAAAATTACAGGACACACTATCTTGTCATCTTTTTTAATAATCATTCGAGGTGACAAAGTGACAAGGGAAGAAACAGGCTTAAGAAACAGAATCTTAGAACCAGGTATGGTTGTGCATGCCTTTAAACCCTGCACTTGGGAGGTAGAGGCAGGCAGAACTCTGTGAGATTGAAACTAGCCTGGTCTATATAACAAGTTTCAGGCCAGCTCACGCTACAGGGAAGCCTTGTCTAAAAAAATAACATTGTGGTTATCAGGAAGGGTGCTTCTTATATAAGTAAATTTGGGTAGCATGCTAGGCAGGTTGAAAAAGGCTAAGAAATTATCTTCCTTAGTGTCCAAAAAATCACTAAAGGAAGCAGACATAATTTAAGTAACAATAGCACTTTGTGGAAATCAAAAGAAAGCTAAATGGGAGAAGGCATTTAATTGTCAGCAATGTTCATAAGTAGAATTGAATGGGTAAAGTCTACAACAATAGATGAGAAACTACTCAGGAAGTGTCATTCATTCACTTACCCATCCATCATCCATCCACCTATCTATCTAACCAACTGACAATCTATCTTTTCCAAAAGCATACAGGTATTTGATAAGCTAGTTATGAGACAATAAGAACTTATTAGAAAGAAGGTAAAGGAAAAAACATGAGGCATTTTCAAGAAAGAATGAGACAACCTTAAATTTTCAAACTTCAGATAATTACAAGAAGTGTGATGCCACGAATGGAAACATTGATGTTATAGAACACAGTAGTTGTAATGAAGAGATAAAAAAGACCATTATACTATAAGAGGAAATGTTGCCCATTATAATTCTTGAAAGTAAGTTTTCTAAAGGGGAGGGAGTTAAACTATGACATAAGTATTAAGTTTTCTGCACAGTCTCAGATTCTATCAGTTGAGAAAAGTTTCTTGTCTGATGATGATATTATCATTCAATTTAGAGGACAATTTGTCCAATCTCTCACTAAGAATGTTTCTGGCTTTTGCAACAAATGGTCATCCATTCTCTCCTTGAACTTTTCCAGGGATTATGAGCTCATAACCTCCTTAGACAGCTCTGTGACATTTCAGACTGCTCTGTTAGGAGGGTCCTAATCAAGTAGGGATGAAATCTGTATTGTTCTACCTTCTAAATTTACCATAGTACACTATAATCTTTTTCCCACTTGAAAACACTTTAAGAAGGTAGAATGTGATGATTATGACCAACCAAGTCTCTTTTTATGACTCATTTCATGCATATGAGTCATGGTCACTCTACAGAGTTGGTTTTCCGAGTCAAAAGCCACCTGATTGCATGACTCACCTTGGGCTCCACGGAGGCCTTGTTGCCCTGGCAACCCATCTACTCCTTTATTTCCAGGAAGCCCACGTGGTCCAGGAAGTCCTGGCAGCCCAATTCCTGGGGGGCCAGTTGGACCATCAGGACCCTTTTTACCAGGAAGTCCTGGTGACCCCTTTTCACCTGGGAATCCAAGTCCACTATCTCCCTAGAGAACAAAGAAAAAAAGAATGAAAATCTATTTTAGAGATTTACCTGGAGAGGCTTCCACCCATTTGAAAGGGTTAGTCAGTGTGAATAATGTTCTATGTTTTATGAAAACTCTCCATTACTCTAGTTTGTTGAGTAGCTTTTGAATTTCATTGGTGTGAATGAATCTTCCCAACTCTGGATGATCTGACTTTGCAAATGGTTTTAATTAGGGGTAGGGAGAAGGCAGGGAATGAGCATGACACCAAAAATCCTTGAAGTCACAGAAAACAGCTTGATTACTTGAGTCATAGGGAAGCTAATCCATTTTTAAGTGAACTGTCACCTATACTTATCAAATGAGATAGTAAATATTCCGAAAGATTCTCATTTTACACAAAAATAAAAGCATGGATTCAACATGCAGTGGGTAGCTGGACTCTTGGAATGATCAACTTACCTGAAGGCCTGGCAGACCTGGTAAACCTGGTATTCCATCCTTGCCTGCAGCTCCTGCTATACCTGGGAACCCCTTAGGACCAGGATCACCTTTGTCTCCTGACATTTTTGATCCTCGACTGATGGTTGGTTCACCTTTCTTTCCTTTGGGGCCTGTATGACCTGGAGGTCCAAATAACCCCTGACAAAAACCAAAATGATAATCAGAGATGAAGACTATAGAATTCTCATGCTTAGCACAGGTTCTTGGGCACTTGATTATGTTGTTATCTTGAATAATTACTGCCTATTTTCTGTATCTTTTCTAAATTCTGAAATCTTTGAAGACTGAATTTCATCTTAATTTCTATTTAATCTTCTGAGCCCAGTACAACCCATCTAGTGTGGAAGGGAGGGAGAGGAACACAAGTAGGTTAAAGCAGAAAGAGACTGTAGAGACAATCTAATCAGACTTCTTCATGTGACAAATCAAAGCCCCATAATTTTGTTTTATGCCTATTTTTTTCATGTGTCTTAGGAAAGTAATCAATGTGGAATAAAGAGCATATGAAAACATCTATTGCTCCTTTGGGGTCAAAGACTTACTGGAGTCCCTGCTGGGCCGGGTGCACCTACAGAGCCTGGATCTCCTCTGGTCCCTTTAATGCCTGGGAGGCCGATGAGACCTTGTATCCCAGGCAGACCTGGTTCCCCAGGTGGTCCAGTGTTGGGGACACCAACTTCACATGCACAAGAACCAGAGTCCCCTGGGGGAACACAGACAACGTCAAATGAAGTAGGTTCTTTTTCTAAGAGGGAAGACCCAAGAGTGGTTATCTGTGACTCGATAAACTTCCCTTTCAGGGAATCAAATGGCCTACGAAGACTAAACAGATTAGGCTCACGGTCCATCAGAACACATCTGTGCTAATGAATTGGTTTTTACTAGTCTGGGATGAGGTCCAGCAATCAGTGAGTTTAATGTTTGAGAACCAACCAGTTGCTACATAAACAAATGGGAGTCTAGAATCTAAGTCCCCCAAAGGTTCACGCCACCAAAATGCTTTCCCTCTGAGTTTTGTTCACATGTATACATGAGACAAATGTCAAACAGACTGAGGATAAGTATTTCAGTGAAGTACTCTTTTTTAGATAGGGTCTCACGAACTGCCAACTTGCCTTAAACTCATTATGTAGCTATGGATGACCCTGAATTTCTGATCCTCCTGCCTCGACCAGGAATGATTACAGGCCTGTGTCACCATGTTCACTTTCAGCAAAACACTTTTGAAAACATATGAATGAGTCCTTAGTACATAACCTAACCGCCCACACTGTTTCTATGAGTATGGTCTGCAGAATGAAAATTGGTGACAAATGTGGGTAGCTAAATTTCACTAAGATACAGAAGGATCTCTTCTGACATTTAGAAAAGGATTCTAGAAACTCTGAGAGAACAGTCTGTTCCTCATACTATAAGATTAAATGTTCTGAAACCTGAAGCAATTTAGATTTCAGAGTTTCTGATTAAGGATGTTCAACTGGTAAAGTGTATCTAAATATTTCAAAACACAAAGATATGAAATCTTAAGCATTTTTGGACCCAAGCATTTTGAATAGGCATAGTCAACCTGTATTTCTATAGTGTGATCGTGGACTTCCTTTGTGAGTTGCTTGTGATGTTGGTTTGTAAGGCAGCCTGCTGGGCCCCATCCCAATACTAACCAGAATCTCAGGAAGCCAGACCCAAGCATCTAATTTTTAATCTAATCAGACTTCTTCATGTGACAAATCAAAAAAAATTTGTTTTATGCCTGTCTTTTTTCATGTGTCTTAGGAAAGTGAGCAATGGGGAATAAAGATCATACGAAAGCATCTATTGCTCCTTTGGGGTCAAAGCTAGGTTAGACTTACTGGAGTTCCTGCTGGGCCAGGTGAATCTACAGAACCTGGATCTCCTCTGGTCCCTTTAATGCCTGGGAGGCCGATGAGACCTTGTATCCCAGGCAGACCTGGTTCCCCAGGTGGCCCAGTGTTGGGGACACCAACTTCACATGCACAAGAATTAATTAATTCTTTTAAATTAATTTAAAAGAATTAATTAATAAATGGGGCTGGAGAGATGGCTCAGTGGTTAAGAACACTGGTTGTTCTTGCAGAAGGCCCAGGTTTGAATCCCAGCACCCATATGGCAGCTAACAACCATCCGTAACTCCAGTTCCAGGGGATCTGATAGCCTCTTCTGTCTTCCACAGGCATTGTATGACATGGTGCACTTACCAACATGCTGGCAATACACGCATACACATAAAATGAAAATAATAAATGAAATTTAAAAAAGAATTAATTAAATTTCATTTTGTGTGTATGAGTGTTTTGACTGTATGTAAGAGCACCCGTGTTGTGAAATGCCCATGGAGGTCAGAAAAGGGTGTCAGATCCCCTGGAACTAGAGCTATGATCAGTTGTCATCTGCCATGTTGGTGCTGGGAATTGAACCCAGGTCCTCAGCAGAGCAGCCAGTGCTCTTGATCTCTGAGCCATCTCTCCAGCCCATATCTAATTTTTAATAGCTTTCCATAGGAGGTTCCCAGATACAATTAAACTTAAGAATCATCATCAGTAATTCAAATTTAGAGAAAATCTTTTGGCTCCATGGAAATGCAGAAGTATCATTATAGTCATCAATGTTTTAGGAGCAGAAATAGTATTGAGAAATACTGCTGCTCTATAGTTAATCAGAGAACGGCCCAAATTAATATCCTATATCCAGATTTCTCATTTAATGTTATTTTATTTCAGTCTTCCTCTGATTTGAAGAGGGATCAAGGTTTCCAAAATCTCTAAACCAGCTCAAAGCATGAAACTCTGAAACAAGTCACTGCTACAAAACTTAGTGATTTTTATGACATGGAAATGAAAAAGGAGAAGAGTATCTTGGTGTGAGGATGAGGAAAGCTGCTGGTTCGTGGAGAGAAAAGGCAAAGTTTCAGATACCTGAACCCCCAGGTCATTCCTAAACCCTTCTTCAATCAGTATGTTTATCTCTCCCCCATCCTGGCCTGGGGTGCAAACATAATCGATTGAATGATTTGAGCATCTTCTCCTCAGAATAAGGAATGTGGAAATGACCCAAGGCAGCAAGAAGATTGAGAGAAGCCATGAAGCTGAAGGCTGGGCTCATTGATCAGCTCCTCAGCAGCAGTGGGAACTGATTTGTTTTCCAGCAGCTAGTTGGTCTTTTAGCATCTCAAGTTTCAAACTGTACAGAATCCTTCAGGCTAGAGAGGTGATAGGAAGCAGTTTCAGCTTTGGCCTTGTAAACTGGGAATGGTCGCTCTAGTTAGCACCTGAGGATGCTGACAATAGCTCCTGTAAGCACAATTGGTAGGAAGAGCAACCTACAAGCTACTTTGTTCTGTGTAGCCTCAATTACCATCTTCATTCCTGGAGCCTTAATTAGAGCTTTTCCAACAATCCTATGCTTTAAACCCTTCTCAAAATCCCAGATTGTAGGGCTGGAGAGGTGGCTCAGTGGTTAAGAGCACTGGCTGCTCTTACCAAGGATGTGGGTGCAGTTCCCAACATCCACATGGTTGACTCACAGACATCTGTAAGTCCAGTTCCAGGGCACCCAACACCCTCTTCTGGCCTCTGTGGTCACTGCACACATGGGTGCACTACATACATGCAAACAAAACACACACATAAAACTATATCAACACCAACAAAAAGAGTCCAGATTGCTTCTATTCGGTTTCCCAAGGCTATTGATTTGCTCAATCTCTATAAAGCTGTATCAGGAGTTTGTGAGACAAAGAAACTCAAGGGACAAAATCACCTTTTGCTCCTTGGAGTCCTGGATTTCCTTTTGCACCTCGTTCTCCTTGGAAACCAGGGAATCCAGGTTCTGTGATAGGCAGAGTTCCAGTCTCAAATGTGGTACCTATACAATTAAAAATATATAAAATTTGGAGGCTGGAATAAGGCTAAAGACTCACTTGACTCAGCACGGCACTTCAATCACTAAGGCTGGGTCCTTGAGGCTCAGCACCCAGGGTGGGTACAAAAACATCCAAGACAGTGATCTCTGCCAAGTCTGCAGCAAAGGGAACAAAAGGACTCTCATTTGGCTCTGTTCACTCTACTAATAAAATGGTTGTTATAGTCTACACACTGTATTAGACACTGGGCATTCAGGAATGAACAAAGTAACTGAATAACTCAGCAGTGCCAATTGCTGTCCTAGAAAGCTTCCTTTTGGGCAAAAGAGGAAGCAGTTGCCAGCTGCAGTGATCAGGGGTTTTGGAGTGCAAAGGGCCATGCTGGGGAATACTCACAGTCTTTCTCTCACAATTTAGGACCCCAGGCTTAAGCATATCTAAGGATAATAGGTTCCATGTATGTGTGCATGGTTTATTTTCTATCTATGATCTATCTATCTA